CATGTGTTACCGTCTGATTGTCCATTTGATTGGCTCGTCATTGAATGGACATCGAGTCCATCGCCAGTTGTGTTACCACTTTTGGTCATCGTTTCTAAGACACAGACAGGAAGAGAGGGCTAAAGACTAACAAAACAAACGCCAAAAAGTGATTAACAAATACCACACAACAATTGGACGGCCTTTTGCTCGACAGTGCGGCCACTCTTACGGCCGATATATTCATCATTCAATTGATTCAATTTGCGGACCACTTCTTCATTGGCATCACATTTGCAGTCATTAATCAAAAGCATTGCATAGTTTCGAAACGAATCCAAAAGTGTATTCATATGTCTTTCAAACCGCAACTCATCCACGAGTTTGCCGTTTGTTGCTATCAATGGGTCCATCGTATGCTTCTTGTCCACCACTGAGGATGACTGTACGGTCTGATGGCTAAAGTGATGGACAATTAATGGTATATTCAATGTATGGCTAATAATTGAGTTTCAAACTCGTGTCAAATGTTGAGCTCAACACACAATCAATACATTCAACACAAACTCATTATCCAATCATTCAATTCACACAACATTTCATTCACACAACAAATGATGTCTTTTTTCACTGCAATCACAAAATTAATTAATTTTATTGTTTTTTAATTCAATGATTTTTATATAATATTCTTTTGCGATAAATATATATAAGTTTTTTCTGTTATACACTGTTTGGTTGTTTGGCATACATTTCGCTAAATAATAAACACAATTATATTCAGAATATATAATGTAGTAAATAAATTGAGTTTTTAAATCGTGGGTTATATTTATAATACAAAAAATTAATGTTAAATGGATTAGCGGTTAATATGAATACTTTATGTATGAAATAATTTATATTATAATTTTTCAATCATTATATGGATTAAGCGCTAAATAAATGAATACAAATGATAACTATATTGAGATTCAAAGGTGTGGACTCATTGTTAGTGCAGTTTTTCATGTCTTAATAAGTAATCCTTTCGTTTGAACGTGAAATTACAGCCGTCGTAACGGCACACAAACGGTCGGTCTGTCGAGTGAATGATCTCGTGTCGGATCAAGTGATGTCTGTTACGTGTCTTATAATCGCATGCATTGCATTCAAACACCGATTGCTTGTGTTTATGTGATAAATGGCTGAGAAGTGTTGCGTTGTCTTTAAAGTCTTCATTGCATTCCTGACACATGAATTGATTGAAGTGAAGGATCTTATGGTTCATTAAACGGAACTTCCGTTTGAATGACTTATTACAGCCCAAGAAGTGACACTTGAATGGCTTATCCATCGAATGCGAGATTTTATGTTGGATTAAGTGATGTTTGGTTCGTGTCTTATAGTCACAGGAATCGCATTCAAAGGCACAGATTCTGTGCTTTTGCGACAAATGGTTGAGAAGCGATAGATTGGCGAAGAAAGCGTCCGCACAGATCACACATACAAATGGCTTCAGATTCTTATGGTATTTATTTAAATGGATCTCTAACGCAGTCTCTGATGGCATCAGTTTATGGCATTCATTGCATTGAAACTTATTGACAATACGGCCATAATTTGGCACATTTTCCACTAAATATTTACGCAAAAAGTCGTTCGTATAGTTTTTGGTCGCATTTGTCGAGTGACTCTTTGAATGGCAACTCTTCGGCCATCGTTTCGGTAAATCTAAACAAACAATTCATTTCATAATTAATTAAACGGATTGTGAAACACATAAAAATGATTATTTTGAGCCAAAATATTACCCAAATTCTTGCAACTCTTCAGCATTTTCTCCACACTTTGAAGACTTTTAAGGCTTAAGTTTTCCGAAAGATAAGAACCATTATTCTTGTCAGTGATGTCTCCATCATCTTCTGAATTGTCTGTAGTGTTGGTCTCATCGAAGCCGTGATTGTCTCTCATGTGGACGTCAAACATGTCTTCACTGGTGAACACTTCGCGACATTCATCGCAAGTATACAATTGGAGTCCGTCTTCCGTTTTGTGGACACTATTCGTATGGATCTGTAAATCGAGTTCAGATGCGAACTGTTGTTGGCATTGATGGCACGTAAGGAGACAATTGTCTGGTATATAGGGATCCGTTGATTCCTTCAACTCAATCTGCGGACGAAACACTTCTTCGGACGTATCGCCACTCTTGTCGTCGATCTCCGGATCTAATCAATGAATAATTTATGAGAACTGACACCAAAAGCACACAAAACAATGTCTATGAAGTGATTTACCCGACGATAGACTGGAGGCGTTGTGTTCCTCGACTTTACCACTTCTAAGACACGCGTAATCGTCACTCAATTGATTCAATTTGTGGACAATCTCTCGATTTATATCACATTTGCATCCGTTTATCAAAAGCAGTGAATAATCTCTGAAGACATCAAGAATTTGATTCAATTGTCTCTCGAAAGTCAATTCGTTCAACAATTTCTGGTTAATGGCGTTGAGATTGTCACCCATCGGATCCATTGCTGGCCGACAATCACATCCAATTGGATTGAGTGCTAAATATTTGCTTTAAATGAAGCGTTAATTGCAATGAAAAACACAACAAATAGTTTGAATATTAAAACTAATTCAATATTAAATACAAGTTTTGGTTGTTTTTACAGTTTCTATGAAAACAATGCCAAACAAAGACATTATATAACATACTCTTCACAAACACTGTGACGCATATGGAGTGACACGTGAAACGAGTGCCCCTTAAAAGTGTTGGGCGTTTGCAATGCAAATCATAGGCAGTGATAGTGAGAGAGAGTCTGTGTTTACAAACAGTTTGTTGTTTTCATATGTCATTCAATCGGTGGTCAATACAATCACCATAATCTGGTCCGCAGACACACACCATGGCGTCCCTCTTCGACCAATACGAACGGTTCGCATCGCTGTCCGGATCCACATCTCGACCCGTCCTCGACGTGGAGCCGAATCACGTGATTATCTTAAGACTTAAGCCATTGAATGATTGTCTTATGTTTTGTCTTGTGTTGAATCGCAGGACAACTCCATAATCAACATGTGTTCCGATAGTGAAGATCCCATTTTCAGTAAACATAAATTGGACTTCTTGTGAGTGGAACCGACCTCTCAATTGAATGCCATTTAATACTATGATATCGTTTGACAGACCCGTCGACAACATAACACATTTAGTGGTGAGTAATAATCATGTGGTGATTGCCTTAAGAAATAAGACAATCCTACGGATGGATCTTTTGCACGGCTCACAAACTACTGGTATGTATTAGTGGTACAAATCTATTGAATAGTTTCGATAATATGTTATATTCTTAGACACAGAATTGACAGCATTTATATCGGATAAGAGCCACACATCGCGAGTGAATCACTTGTTTTTAGACCCGACGGGAAAACATTGTATAATAAATGTTATAAATAGCGAAACACAGGTTTCGGCTGAAAATCTGTATTTAGCGCGAAAATGCGTTCAAATGTCTAAAATGAGAGGACATGTGATTACAGCCGTCGGCTGGAACTACGAGGTCAGCGCTCGAAGTCAGTCCAATACCACCGCAAACATACTGATCGGCACAAACAAAGGGCTTATTTTTGAGTCGGAATTAGTTCCGGCCGATGAGTCCAAGTTTTTCCCCATTGGAGGTCCCGAACAGTACTTCAAACAGGCTTTTGAATTGGGCTCAGATGCCGGTCCCGTGTCTGCCATTGAGTTCCATAAGATTAGACCATTGAGTGCTCACGAGTCCATGTATTTTATTATTGTCACCACAAGAGAGTAAGTGTTTAATAACCAAATACTAGGAATTTTTATAGAATATGTTCTTATTATTAATCTTTCCAATGATTTAGTCGTTTATATCAATTTGTGGGCAACGCTTCAAATACAAGCGATTCTCCCTATTTATACCAAGTGTTTAACACTCCGTACAGCACTCCATATCAAGATATGCCCCGACATATGAACTTCAGTCAATTGAATTTCTATTACCCGAACCCTAACTCCATTCCCCAGTCATTTGGATGGCTTACCGGTTAGTTACACATCAATACTTACTTACATAATACTAATGAAACGCGTTGTTTGTGTCACAACAGGTCCCGGAGTGTTATGCGGACGAATCGATATAAGCCCCAAATCGGTGACCAATAATAGTGTTATAAGCGATACAACATTATTGACATATAGAAGCGAAACGGATACCAGTTTTAATGATGAAAATCCTATTGGTTTTGTATTAACACAATATCATGTGTTAATATTAATGCGAAATTTTTTGAAAATTATCTGCGTTTTGAACGATGAGGTGGTCTTTGAGGAATATTTTACTGAAACATATGGTAAATTAGTAGGCATTGCGAAAGACCCGACTCGAGGCACTGTTTGGGTGTTCACACACTTAGCCATCTATCGGTATAGGATTGTGGCCGAAGACCGCAATATATGGAAAATATATTTAGCGAAACGTGATTTCGAAGCGGCCAAACGGTTGGCCCGAAACGATGCCATTAAAACAAATGAAATTATTTGCTCGGAAGCCAACTATTATTTCTCCAAAAAGAAGTGAACAATTTGTTTGATAAATATATAGAAATGTTTGTTGTATTTGTTTTAAAACTGTTTCTTTCTTTGATTTGCCATTAGTTATGAAAAGAGTGCATCACTTTATGCATTGAGTCATAAATGTTTCGAAGAAATTGCCCTCAAATTCATTCAAATCAATGAAGACGAGGCACTGAAACAATTCCTAGTCTGCAAACTGGACACACTATCCCTGAAGGACACCACTCAGCTCACTGTACTCGTCCTTTGGCTCATTGAGATACAGCTCAACCAAATGGGATCTCTGAAAAATGCGGGCAAAGAGTCCTCACATGACTACCAGCTGATTGAAGCAGAGTTTGAGAGTTTGCTCTCACAAAACAAAGTTTATGTAAACTATATTTTTTATTATTTCTCTATTTTGTATTTAATTTTGTTAAACATTTAATTTGTTTTAGAATTGTTTAATTAAAAGTCGTAAAGCGGTCTATGATTTGATCGAAAGTCACGGCAACCAAAAGAATTGGATTCATTTTGCGGTTTTAATGCAAGATTACGATCGGGTCATAGAATATCATTTGCAACACAAGAACTACAGTCAAGCGCTTACTGTTCTCAGACAACAAGTAATTTTTTATAACAACGTTTTGTTTTGTATTATATTTAATTGTTAACTAAATTTTTTATTTGAATAAATTTGCACCGAAAGGGTGTGACGGATATGTTCTACAGATTCGCTCCGATTATTATGCAAGAAATGCCGGCCGAATTGATTTCACTGTTGATTCAATTGGCTCCACAATTGGACTCAACAAAACTGATTCCAGCATTAGTTCAACAGAACCTTAAAGATAGTAATGATTGGCACGAAAAACAAGTATTTAATTAACAAGTAATTTTTATTATTAATTTTTATTAATAAATGAATTACTTTTGTGTTTGGAAACAAAGTGTTTGGAAACGATCCGATATCTGGAGCACTGCGCCTACAAATTAGGTGATTCTGATCCAGTGATACATAACTATCTGCTGGCACTATACGCACAGACGACTCCCGACAAACTCATGACATACTTGTCGATGAAGGGCGAGGACGAGTCGACAGTGCCTTACGATATCCGATACGCGGCTAGAATTTGTTGCGAACTGGGCTTAGAGAGGGCTTGTGTTCACCTCTACTCTACGATGGGTATGTGCGAAGAGGCCGTAGACCTGGCGCTCACATTCGACATACAGTTAGCCAAACAGACGGCCGATCGAAGTGGTGACCAAATTGGCGATCAATTAAGGAAAAAATTGTGGCTCAGAATCGCGCGACACGTGATTAGTAGTGAAGAGAAAGACATTAAAACGGCCACAAAAATACTCAAAGAATGTGAACTCTTGAAAATTGAAGACATTTTGCCATTTTTTCCCGACTTTGCGACCATTGATCACTTCAAAGAAGCCATTTGTTCATCACTTCAAGAATACAACCGAAACATCGAATCGCTTAAAGAGGACATGAAGTCGGCGACAGAGAGCGCACATCAGATACGACAAGACATCAAAGCGTTTCGAAATAAATTCACAATAATTCGTACGGAAGACAACTGCACAGTCTGTTCATACCCTGTGCTGAACCGTGCCTTTTATGCCTTCCCGTGCGGACATCTCTTCCATAATGATTGTCTCGTATCAGAATTGATGCCGTATTTACCGCAAAGTCAACAGCAAAGAGTCGATGAGATTCAACGCAATCTCAATTACAGCGGCGGTCCGTCCACACAGTTTAAGACAAATAATGATGTTTTGGGCGATCAGTCCAACAGTATTAGTATCGCCAACGATAGGGAACGGCTTCTCAACGAATTGGACGACATTGTGGGCAATGAGTGTTTCTATTGCGGAGATATAATCATAAGTAGTATCGATCAGCCATTTATTCTTCCTGAAGAGATGAGTCAAGCCATGGAGGGCTGGGATTGAAGCGTTTGTCTATAAATAGTCTGACAAACGCATTGAGTCTATGCCATAGACAGTGTTTACTAAGAATTTGAAATTTTACGTAAAACTATTGATTATTTGGACGTTTGGACCACAATTCTTGTGAAGCATATGTTATGATTATTCGTTGAAATAAAATGTTGTTTTAATTTTATTGAAATCAAAATATTTGGCAAAACTTTATACATTTATAATGTGTTTATAAATATTTTTCTAATAAATTATTAAAAGCATTGCTATAAATTCATTCGTTGCCAGTAATTCTAATAATTAAATGTCTTCGACCTAGTTGTTATTAATGAATGAAATATTGTTTAGTAATATTTTATCATGTTTTAAGATACCAATATAAATTTTAATACTATTTATTTAATAATATGAAATATATTAGCGTTTTGTTTATTAGAATATGGAATATAGTTGCTTATTCTGGACATATATTTTTAAACTTTGTAATATTTACACAATTTAGTCATAATTAATGATTATTATAAGAAATATTTTACTATTCCTTGTGGTTCTCAAATATATGATGTGAAGTCAAAGCTGGATATTTATTAAACTAGAAATGTGTAGTGCTTTACATATTTATAGCCAATACATGAATAATCGTCTATAAATTTGTATCTATAAATGTATAGATTTTGGCTTTAAATTATACACAACTGGTAAACAGTTGAATGAAATATTGAAGTTTTCGGTCATATTTACCGAAACATAAAGAATATCATTACTATGGATAAAGAGATGGCGCGAAGACTTGTATCACTTTGGGTTGAAAGTTGTGTTCTCCGAGAAATGCACAAGAAATTCATATTTTGCTTTTTAGGTTTGGCATTAGGTTTGGAAAAATATGCGATGAAACCAACAATTTCTTAGATGAGACAAATATTTTACAAGTTTTTTATCGCTCCATGAGATCTGTTTTTGGAAATATATTTTGTTTTTTATGTAAATTTTTAAATAAATTAATATTTAGTTTGAGTGAAGATTTTTTGGTGAAATCAATTCTTTGGCGACAAAACCTCACGACACGGCCCAACCCATCATTCAATCCAATTCTGTATTACAAACAAAACTACTCTATATATAGGGATAGAAAGATAAATGCAATGATAATGTGATGAATATATTTTCATTAAACTTATCATAAGTTGTGTCACATTTTCTTATATAACATGACTTAAGTCTTAAAGCCTATCATTTGAATCATTTATTTATTGCTTTTTCTTTTCTATATCAGCCGTGAACTGGGGTTTAGCCATAGGTTTTGGTCACAAAATGTCAACAAATTAGACATAAATATCTTGAAATTGAATTCAAGTTTTTTTTGAAGATATGATTGGATTGAAAGGCAAGGAATGAATCTTACTATTGGTTTGGCTCTCATTATAATTTTTCAGTGATATTATCGCAGGAATGTTAGGCATAAGCAAAATACACGAATAAATTAAAGTCTAGTTCTTATATTATAATGAAAGTCAAACTCGCAGTTGAAATGACTTTTGGTTTTTCTTATACCGAAAGCTGTGTTATTGAAGACAAGTCTCTGTCTAATAATCGGATACTTTTTGATGTTTTACTCAAATGAACGACTCGTATGTCTTATATTCTAAAATAATCACTGCTTTGAAGCGATTAAGACTCTAATCATTTGGAGTATAACTTATTTACTCGAGAAAAGAGCTCACAATTGGTTATAATAAAAACAATTTAAATTATAAACGCATTGATTTGGTCATCAATAGATAAAAAATCAAACATTGAGTGATTAGTGAACTAATTCTTTAAAACACTATTTCTAAATATAGCCAAACATTGAGTGGAAAAATAAATTTATATATAATATTTCAGACAAACGGTTTTACAACTCAATTGTGAATTGTTTGTCCATTTCTTTGATAACTTGTAAGCTTTGGCACAGTTTTTGAATGTTTTGAATTATTGGAGAAATGAGTGAATAAATTGATTTGAATTGATTTGAGTGCAAAATGCAGTCACAAAAAGCCGAATTGAAAACTCAGTGTTTTGTTTGATTTGGTTGTGCAGAGTATTGGAGTATTTCTGTGAAACTTATTCGACGACTTCATTGTTAGAGCAAATAATGTCAGATAATATTCTGTGTCTAAACTTTGCTTATATTATAAAACATTTTATTGAATCACAGAATACTGAGCCTTAAAACGGGGTAAAAGGAGTGAATCAAATAAGATTAGTTTCGTTCGTTAAACATTCAAAACATGCAGATTCACAACCACTGCACACAGATATCTGTATATGACTTCAATTATAGTCCAGAATATATATGTAATCAAATTGATAGACAACAGTGAGAGTCGAGTTTGAAATACTATTGCAAACAAAAATATTAGATAAGGGGTAATGAGAGTTGAGGCGAACCTGTATTTGGTTTGTGTTCAGTACTCAGTGTTGAGGACAACATTTGCTACAATTTTTGTGGTAATCTCTGCGCACAAAATATAAGCCATAAGTTTTGACAAAAATGAATCAAATGTCTGTTTTTTGGTGTTTCATATGAAATGCGAGTGATTTTTGGAGCTAAAACTCAACGCAACAAAAAAGCAAATTTTTCGCATCAAATCATTTGTAGAGTAGAATTGTAGCCAAACTTTTTCGTATTGAGGACTTATAATACATTACATTATACTCTAATGTATACATTGAGTACAAATGAATAAAACAAATATTCTTCAGTCTTTCAGTAATCAAATTGTTATTTCACTCCCCGAGTGATTCGTACGACTCTTTACAATGATTTGAGTCATCCTATCATCTCATCTGTGTTTCAATTTTATATCATTTTTATCAATTGAAAAATGTAAGCAAAATTGTAATCCAAATGTTTCGGCAGTGAATGTGTGCATCAAAAGCATATAACACTCTATCAAATAGCGCTCAGCGATTCATTTCATTATTATTGTCTCATGCAATGCTAATAAGGACCCGGAGGCCAGCCCTGGCTTTCCTCAAACTACACGGTATAACACATACACTATTCAATACAATAGCACACAATAGACTAGTATTAGTTGTATTACAAATTAAATTGTTCTTTACATCCAATATCGAGCTCTCAATTCACTTAATTTGCATCGAAATAAGAAGACGAGGACTTAAACTATACACCACTCGATTGACACAACTATTCCTTACGGGCATCGACTCTATTGCCTTCAATGTCTCCATTCAATCCACTTTCCAACCAAGACTACAGTCACCACAACCTCTCTCTGTGTTTGTATATCTCAGGTCTGATAATCTGGAAAATTATTAAACAAAAGTAAAAATAGTAGAAAATGTTGTGTCAAATAATTTCTGTGGCCTTT